CTCATACTAAAACCAGACAAAGAAAAACAAAAAAAGGAAACTGAGGCCAGTGGCACTGATGAACATAGATGCAAACATTATCAACAAAATACTAGCAGACTGAATTCAACAGCATATTAAAAAGATTATTCACCATGGTCAGGTGGAATTCATTTCAGGGTGCAAGGATGGTTTAACATACGGAAATCAATAAATGTGATACATCACACTCACAGAATCAAGAACGAAACCATATAATCATCTCAACTGATGCTGAAAATGCATTCAATAAAATCCAAAATTCCTTTATGAGAAAAACTCTCAACAAACTGGATATAGAAGGAATATACTTCAAAATAATAAAGGCCATATATGACATCTATGGTTACCGAAGGTCAGGAAGGAAGGGTAAGGGAAATGGGGAGATGAAGAGAGGTTTTTTTTTTTTTTTTTTTTTTAATGAGTACAAATATATGGTCTGATTAAAACATAAGATCTAGCATTTGATAGTTCAGTAGGGTGACTACAGATTACAATAATCTACTGTAGGTTTCAAAATAACTAGAAGAGAATGAATGTTTCTAGCATAAAGAAAAGACAAATACTTAACATGATAGATATCCCAATTACACTATTTGATTTTTACAAATTATATGAATGTATTGAATTATCACATGTACCCCCAAAATAAAAAATTAAAAAAGAATGAAAATTAATAAAATTATTGAAGAAGTGATGACATAGGTAATACCTACTCAATAAAACGATGAATGTGGAAACATTGAAATTGAAAGGCCATTCTCAGGATGCATGTGAATTTGCCTTCAATATCTCTTAGTGAACTCGCATTATATATTCATTTTCCTTCATTTTGAGGTTTTACAATTAGCAGTTGGCCCAGTGATTGATTGATTGAATAGAATCAAGTATCGTAATTATACTGAAGATTGGAAGGTTTGCATATATTTTAAAGGTACTAACTGAAGTCTCAGGAATGAGGGGAAACAACTTTACCACTTAGAACTTCTCCCTGACAGGTGTCAGATTAAAGAAATAGCAAACTCAAGGATTAGTGGTGAGAAAAGGAGAAGAAAGTCACAATTTATTACTTGCTCTCAATACAGGCTCATTAGCTAAGTCAAAGAAAGGACTTCTTTTCTTCTGAATCTAATACTACAGTAGCAGCTCCTAATCTGAAGTTTTTTTTTTTTTTTCCAATGGATGTCCAAAAATATTAAATGGAAAATTCCAGAAATAAACAATTCCTAAATTGTGTGCCACTCTGAGTAGTGTGATGAAATCTTGTGCCATCTTGCTGCACCTTGCCCAGGACCAGCATCACCCCTTTTTCCTGGTGATCCACACTGTACATGCTCCCCTTCTGTGAGTCCCCTGGTAGCTTCTAGGTTACTAGATCAACTGCTGGGGTATTGCAGTGCTTGTGTTCAAGTCACCCTTATTTCACTCCCTAATGGTCCTAAAGCCAATAGCACTGAGGCTGGCATATTGTTATAATTGATTATTAGTTATTGTTGTTAAACTCTTATTGTGCCTAATTTATGAAATAAACGTTTTTGTAGATATATACGTACAGGAAAAAGCATCGCGTATACAGGATTTGTGCTGTCTGCGGTTTCAAGCATGGGGGTTTGGAACGTATCCCTTGAACGTATGTGGGAGCTACTGTGTTTGATTGCGTGCCCAGAAGGAAAGAAAGGAAAGAGATTGACAGAAAGAGAATGAATTCTGGAAAGTCAGGCTTTGCCTGGGTCTGCTTACTACATAAGTATGGAAAGTAGGAGGAAAAAGCAGAGAGCTCTCGTGGATACACACTTAGTATAATGTGCCTACAATCATCTCCATTTCTGACAACTGGCAACTTCTCTCTTGTGGAGGAGTTAAGAAGTGGTGGGTGAGGAGCAGAAGTGGGTGGGGAGACAGGCTGGAATTGATAGGTCCCAAAATGCATCTTCCACTCTGGGCATAGGTAGTAGTGTGAGGAGAGGAGGGGGAGGGCAATGCGGAGGGGAAGGAGAAAGAGGAGGGGAAGGAGGAGTGGGAGGGGAAGGAGGAGTGGGAGGGGAAGGAGGAGTGGGAGGAGAAGGAGTGGGAGGAGGAGGGGAGGGGAGGGGAGGGGAGGGGCGGAGGAGGGGGAGGAGTGGGAGGAGAAGGAGGAGGTGAGGAAGGAGGAAGAGGAATATCCTTTGCTACAAATGTCAGCATTCGTTGCATTTCCCAGGTGTTTGAGGTTTCATCTTGATCCCACAATGCTTGAGCTTATTATACCTGGTGCGTTCAGCAGGTTCTTGAGCCTGGAAAATGTATTTAAGGTGCTTAATCAAACATTCACTAAAGGATTCTCAGCTGAGGACAAAGAAGTCTGTAGTTCACTTATATAAGGACCTTTCTAGACCACAAAAAAAGAAGGTAAACAGGATCATTTGAGATTTACACAATAATGCAGGACATGTCATCCTTTGGGTGAACATGTTTCTATTTTGGCACTTAAGTGTTGTTTGCATGCACTAAACGATAATAATGAATCTATTCCAGCCTTTTTATGACGGAGGGTTGTGTGTGGGCATTTTAACTGTAGAATTCTTTGAACTAGAGATTATTCAAAGTTTACTTAGGCAAATGCTATTATGTGCTAAGTAAAATTTCAATTGTGTGCAACAACGCCTCTGTAAAAAGCAACTGCTGCAACCTAATGAACTTCAGAGCCTTCAGGTACAAAGGAATTCAACCAAGTAAGGCTAGAGCTGTAATGTATGGATCGTTAAGCCAATGATTCCCCAATACTGACTGCTTTGGCAGTGTCAGTTGACTGTGACAAAAGAAAGAAGGTAACAGTGAGCATCTGAAAAAGTGAATCTCCTGTGATTACCGACTAGCATTTAAGAAGAAATAAATTAAGAAGGTAAGACCCACAGAATGCCTTTGAGCATAATGTGATGGGTGGCGGTGGGGGGAGGGGTTGTTTAAATCAGATTATGTAGGTTGACTTTGAAAAACTGTATTTGTCTTGGATATGCCTCCCTTTTCCTTCTTCCTAAGGACTCTGCTAACCCTACAGTCACAGCTGAATATGGAGAAATACAATCATTTTGGAAGAAATCTAGGATTTGATGTTAGATAAAAGTGATTTCCAATTTCTGCTATGCAGTTTGCCAACTGCGTGACTTTGAGCAATTTACACAACCCTGTTGTGATTCCATATTCTCATCTTTAAAATAAGGACTATTATGATACCTATGTCATAGCATAGACTATCAAATGATGTCTGTGAAATTGTTTATACATACACAAGTGCCATCCACCTCTACTTCACACAGCCTCTTCTTTTCCACAGCATGCGCTGGATGTCACCGATTGGAAAATTTACCTTTTCCTATGTCTGTCCGTTTCTTCTGTATTATTCATCCTTGTCCCTTTTGGAGGGAACGGTGCCATCCAACTGTGCATGGTTCTATACCTCAATAGCAGCTCCACAGAAATTGAACTTAATGTATGCTGCAACACGTGTCTGAAAATAAACGGGCTGTGACACAGGAAATGCTAGTTCTGCCTCTCTCCCAGTGAAGTCGAGATGAGACAGCTGTGCCTATAAATGAAGCCATTTGAAGAGTTAACATGGAAGACGGCTCCACGTAATTGCGAACTTCTGTGGAGCTACTCACAGACCATGCTCTAGAAATTAATAAAAGTAGTGAATAAGATGGGAAGGATGCACAAAATGAAAGCCAAATGAATGAATTAGTTTTCCTGTATGGTTCAACAGCACTAAATCCAAAGGCTGCCAGGCTCTGCTGGTCTATGGTTTAAATGGGATTTTTAAATGATTTACATCAAGGCTATGTAAGAAATGAAAGCAAAGCAGGATAAAAATAAGGAATGTTACTTGTGATTCTAGTGGGTAAAAATACACTGAGACGAGGAAGTAATTGGTAATTAAAATAATTAAAGAATTCAACATGTTTGTCACTAAATTGAAAGCTAACGTCATGTTTGCCAATATTTTCATCATTCATTTAATTTCAAAAAAATTTCTCATCCACCCAAGTGTGCTTTTGTTCATTCATCCATCTAGACAAAAAAATTTCAAAGATTTCTCTATATACCAGGTACAATCATCAGAGCTTTTATATGCTTTTCATTTAATTCTTACAATGATCGTTCTCCGCAGGTAATATTATTCCAAGATTTTAGTCATTGAGTTGCTTTATCACAATCCAAGATTTAGAAATTGAGTTGCTTTATCACATATCAATACAATAAATTTAGCCAGAAGTGAAATTGTGATTTGAATTCAGTTTTTTTTTTCCTTTAGTATCTGATACGATACCTTTTCCACTACAATAGGACTGCCTGTTACGCACTTAATTGGTATGTTAAAGTAAATGGAAATTTTTAAATTAAAATATAAATGTAAGATCTTGTTAGTAATTTCTTAATAGCCTCTGAAAATTGGTGACAACATATGGGGCGCTTACACTTACCTGTAGTGTAGCCAGAATGAGAGAGGGGGGTAAAGGCAAAATTCTTTCTTTGTACTTATGCCATGAAACCATATTTTATTGGATTTCATATATTATGGTTCATCCTGCCAGGTAGAATATAATATCTTTATCCTATTTATTTCATTACCTCCTAGACTATGTTTTCTCATCAGAAACCTATACGGTAAGTTTTAAAAATGCAGATTTCTGGGTCCCATCCCTGCTTTCTGAATCTGAACTTCTGGGATTGGGCCAGAGAATCTTCATTTCTTTCTGAGACATGTTCTCACTCTCACCCAGGCTACAGTGCAGTAGTGGGATTACGGCTCATTGTAATGCCTTACTCCTAGGCTCAAGTGATCCTCCTGCCTCAGTCTCCTAAGTAGTTAGAACTATAGGCAAGCACCACCATATCCAGCTAATTTATTTTAATTTTTTTTGTATGGACAAGGTCTCACTACTCTGCCCAGGCTGATCTCTAACTCCCAGCCTCAAGTGATCCACCTGCCTCGGCCTCCCAAAGTGCTGAGAGTACAGATGTGAACCACTGCACCTGGTCTGAAATCTACATTTTTAACCAGCAGACCAGTTCATTCTGACATGCTCGAGTTTGAGAACCACTGACCAGGCGATTCTGTATACAAAGCCCACCCACAGTATTTGGTGCCAGCATGACTGACTCTTTCAGAAGCGAATTCATCTGACAAGTCCTGACCCCCATGTCTGGGCCCAGCACTATGCCAGGAGGCCCTTCCAGCTACACCACATCGCATCAAAACCCGTCTGTCTAGTTCATATTCCATGGTGACTGTTGGTTCACCCACAGTCCTACTCAGAGTTCTGAGTCAGCCTCAGAAACACTGGGAGCTCTGGGCCACCTCTTATCAGAACATGAGTCAGAGCTGTAATCTCTGCTTCCCATTCCTGTGCTATGCTGCTGATGTGGTACTGGATTCCTTCCTAGTCAATCAACACAGACCTTCATTTCTATAGAGTTCTCTCACCCCCAAGTAAATAGACTAATTTCTTTCTGGTTGATTTAGGTATTAAAATTAAAGATGTAAAAATACTTATTTACTTAGGTAATGATGAATGAGTGCCTTGCAGGAGTAATGATTAATCACGCTCCACCTGGAAACCAGTGCCAAAACAACTCTGCTAATAGAATCCATCAACTGCTGAAATAAGTGATTGCACTGAAGCCTGCTTTATTGTAAGTTCCTTAATTTTACATTCTAGTTGCATGTTGTCATTTCCTAATAAAAATTGTTTGGATTCCTTCCTGAAACATTTGGGTTGAGTCTTGAGGAGGTATTTTGCGTTAGCTAAACACTGAATCATAAAACCATATTCATTATTCTGGCAAGGCAACACAGATTTTATTCTATGAAATTTAAACAATTATTTAAAATTAGAACAATGAGTAATAATTGGTAAAAATATGAGAACTATAATATTGTATTAAAAGAGCACTCAGTCACTAAAATATTTCTTTGCTGCCTACTATACATGGGTAGGTCAACATTTGGTGTAAGCAATGGCATAACCGGAGTTAGGTGGAACTTTCAGGAATTCTTTACTACCAGTAATTGTCTAACCCAGAAAGTATCTTTACTGCCAACTCCCATCAGGGGAGCTTTGGCAGTCAAAAAAGTACTTCACAACTCTCTGTGTTACTGTTGTCAACTTGTTCAAACTGCATTTTGTTCTTCATGGGAGCAGCAGGTTAAGAAAACCACGTCCTGGAAAATCACAGTGGTGGGAGTTGGCTCTAGATACACCTATGAAGGATGGAGAGGCAGTTGTATATGCATCTACTACCATTTTCTTTCTTAAATTTTGGTGAAAGTAGAATAAACACCGTCTTTGGAGTCAAAGCTGAGTTTAAATCCTGGTCCTAACTTTCATAAGGAAACTGAGACTTAAACTTTTTTTTCTCTAATTTGTACATGGAGTTTCCTGGCTGCCCTTGCTTCGGTTTTTCAACTGGTTAATCACAGGTAAAATGGGTTTCTAATGCTTCAAGAGTCAATTTAGATGTTATCTTAGAAGCCTACTCTCAGTCCTCCAGCTAGACAGGTGATCATTTTCTCTGTACTTCTTATCACTTATTATATTCTACTTCAATTGCCTACATACCTTGGAAAGGAGACTTTATTATTTTAAAAGGATTACAGACTGCAGGGCAGCCATCCTGCCAGGCTGGGAAGTGTAGCCTCCAGCAGAGACTGTTAACAGGCGCTTCAGAGGAGGAGGGGTTGGGGCAGGAGCTTTATGCTAAACAGGTTGGCTAAACATAGATATTAAACAGTTATAGGAGAAGCTATGAATATTTACAAAGAGGGTCCTCATGCGTGCATATTGAATAACATGCATGTTACATGTGTCCCATTTCACGTTGGGATGGAGACTTAATATTTAAATACATTACAATTGGGTCAAAAAAGTGAAGCAAAAACATGAGGCACTATAGCGTGCAGCCTCTGTAAACTGGCCAGAACCATCCTGTAGTCAGTGGCCTCCTGTCAGAAGAAAGTTACTGAAATCAGCTTCTGGTTCAATCAAAGCTATAGTTATGGCTTGTGGAACATGGAGTTAGTCTGCATCTGGTAGTGGACGAGCTATAATTGTTTTATATTGCTTATCTTGAGGCCAATGCCTCTTTAGCCACTAAAGAAAAAGAAAAATCTTGTGGCAGTTAGAACAGAATTTATTCTTTAAGTATAGAAGTGTGTGACTTAACCCTTGTCTGGTATGGCCTTATTTGGTATCTCATTGCCTCAAAGAGTCTGTTCCGTCAGTCTTATGATCTGTTTCAGTATTAATGCTGGTCAGTTTTTGTGTCTAAACCACAAAAAGGAGGGTATCATGAAGCGTGTTTGAACTCCCATCCCATTATGGCTAGGAATTCAGTTTTTAATATTTCCCTGGGGTCCCATTGGCTAAGAGAGGGGTTCATTCCATCATTGGGGGCTTAGAATTTTATTGTTCGTTCTCACTTTTCAGGCAGATAACTTTATGGTGCAGTATATGTCACATAAGAAGGTATGAATAAATATTTGGAAAATTTGATCCATAAAATATGGGTAGTAGTAACCGTTTCAAAAAGTGACCATAAGAACTAGGAGATGATCACATCTGTAAAGTTCCTGCCACATAGTAGGCACTCAATCAGTTCTTGACTGGATCTTTCTCCCGCTCCTAGCAATGGCCCCAGCCCAGCGGCCTGTCCTTTCCCTCCAACTCCACCAACAGTTTTGTGAGCCAACCCTGTGTGGTCTTTTCTCTGCTTTACATCATTGTCATAAATCTCAATTGACACTTCAGTGTCTCTGCCACCCCAGGGCGGGCCCCAGAACAAACGTTTGTTCATTAGCAGGGTCTTGCCTTGACTGGAAGTGCTGAGGTCCTTTGTAGCGCTGCCAAAACAAAACGCAAACCAAACAGAATTGCCTTCAGGATACTGAGACACAGGTGAAAGATTGAGCTGGGAGCCTCTATGCACCTTTCAAAAGCCGCCTGAACTACCTGTTACCAAGGTTCTAAATATGGATGTGCATATGCTGTCTCTGCTACTCCTTCCACCCTCAGCCATGCCTCTTGGGACAACTGAGTGTTGGGGTCTAATTGGCTCATGGTCTGAACCTTTCTTATTCAAGGAAGAGGAGCATGTGGTGAAGCAGGCTTGTGGTTACAGAAACCCTTGTCCCTTCATAGAGGGCAACCAAATATCATCGGCATAACAAAGGGGAGTAGTATATTTTGATATACACAGTATCTTTATAACAATGATGGATATGATATATTGCTGTCAATTTTTACAATCGGCCAGAGATTATATAAAAAAGAATCTTTTTCTTTTGTATCACAAAAGAAACTTGGATCTTCCCTGGGGATGGCAGGAAGCGCAGACTCACCAGCTTCCATTTGACTGAATTACACATTTGTTTTTGATGTGTAGGAGGTTAGTGGCAGGGATTCTATCCATCCTGCACAATTTCAATGAGTCCTTTCATGAGAAAGAAAAGAATAGTAGAAATAACTATAAGAAAATACTTCTTCTACTTCATGTTCCGTCAGATTAGTCATGGTGTTCTCATAAAAAAATATAGACCAAGAGCAGCCTTTATTGGTCTGTATAGTTTATGAAATGCTTTATTTCTTTGGGTTCATAAATAATCACAGATGGTCCCTGCAAATAAAAGTATAAGATGAAACGTAAGAAGAAATTTGTTAAATGATAATTTTCATTTCTTGATGAACATAAACTATACCTGAATTTTGTTTTCCACAAGAAGTTTATTACGTGTTTTAAATTACTAAAGTATATTACAGATAAATCTGAAGTGCCCTTAAGCTGCACTTAAGGGCAACTTAATTTATTTTTTCTCCTTTTTTAAAGAAAGCTTTTATCATAAATTTAATGTTTTATTTACTATTTTTTATTATTTAACACAAACATAGTATTCATGAGCAGTATAAAATATGATGTTGGTATGATTTAAAATTTTATATAAATTATAGCATATCTTCACATATTCTGAAATATGCTTTCTCCACATATTATATTTTTGTATTATATCAATCGTGATATGCAATTTTTATTTTTTACTTGTCCTAAAGAAATCTATTATATTCTATGTCACTTTTTAAAATCCATTTCCTTGCTGGTCAGACATTTTTAAAAAGTATGCCACTTAATTGCATTTATTGAGTTAGTATTTATTTACAAAAAATTTTCTGTATGAATTCTTTGTATAATATGGTGATTTTAGTAAATAACTGTACATTGTATACTTGAAAATTACTGAGAGTAGATTTTACATATTCTCATCACAAAAAATAAGTACGTGATGTAATGAATATGTTAATTAGCTTGATTTAGCTATCCCACAACATATACCTAAGAAAACATCATGTTGTACATAATACAGACATAATTTTTATTTGTTGATAAAGAAAAATGAATTTTGTGAACTAGTACTAGATATAGGGTATCTGAATAAAATGGATTGATTAATTTGATTAGTAAAGAACGTCTACTTATAGAAATTATGACCCGTTTTTAGAGTTTTTAAAAACAGTAAGACATGGAACCTGAAATGTTTACCAAATATATTTCTATTTTATGATGTTTCAAATGATTTTTAAAGATACTGTCAAATTTTATGTGTACACCTTGTGTTTGAATAGGATGGTTCTGGGGTTTGGCAGATACTCATTCTGCTATGGACAAGTATTAGTTATGGATTAACGCATTCGTTTTCCTATGGTTCTAACTTATTAGAGCAATAGACACCGGAATGATATGGTGAAAAAGCATACTGGTAACTTAAAAAGAACCCTCACATTGCAAGGTATTTTGCAAACATATTGGGGAATGTGGCTTGATCCTGGGACTGAAAAGAAGCCTTCTACTACTCTCCCACTGCTCCTCACACCCCATACCCCAAAGTGTACATCCTCGAAGTCCATTTAGAGCACTAGAGATGTTGTATTTCTTTTCTAGCTCTAGTTCTGAATTTTAACTCATGGAAGGTATTAGTCATTGGGTCTGAAGAGCTACGGCTTATAAAAATGGATCCAGAGAACATATCCTGTAGCTAGTCAAAAACTGTGTTAGTAAACTCCAGGATGTAACTAGTTCTATAATTATTTTAAGTTGAGATATAACAGGTGTAGTATTTTGTAGAGTGGGCTAGATATTTTATTCAACGATCTATTTTATCACTTTGTCTTTCTTTAAATCACAGATACACATAAAACATATGTATAAACCTGATGAATAAACTGAATCAGAATGTTGAGTATCTTAATGCAAGATACAATATATATATAGTAATCTATCCTCAAATCTGTAATTTTATAAACTTTGTTGCAATTATGAGTAGAGAGCCATTTTGAGTAATTATTTTAGTGTTGTAGAAATATTCCCATTAGGAACTTATATAAGATAAAATGTTAATATTCTTTCAGAACATAATGTATTTGCAAAGTGTGGAAGCACTTTCCATTATCCTTATACACAGGAGACCTAGGTAATAGCATTATGTAGATAATTTTACCTCAACAGAAATAATATAACCATAGACATTGATGATAAGAAAAGCTCAAGAGGTACTTTAGGCCATTAGCCTGAAAAATTGCTGCATATTTTAAACTTCTTGTGTCTGATCTAATTTGTCTGACTTTAATGGTTCCACTTTTAACAAT